ACGAATGAATTAACGATCGTCATTGACGGACGATTTATTAATGCTAATCGAATTCCAGTTCTTGTTTGTTGCGGTTACTGAGCCGGTGTTACGACTAAATTTTAATAAACGCGACTACCGGGGAATTATTCAATATGAAAGGAGCAATTTGTCTTTGAAAATGATCCGACACTTGAGAATATTTTAGCACTCGATGGCCATGAAACTTGTAATTCGATAATCATTACATAATTCTTCGATCAAATTTTTTGAGCTTACTATTTGACTACGAATTATTTCAACAAAGAAATTTATCTCGATGGCCATGAAACTTGTAATTCGATAATTTTTACATAATCAATTGGTAAAATTTTTTGAGCTTACTATTTGACTACGAATTATTTCAACAAAGAAATTTATCTCGATGGCCATGAAACTTGTATTTCGATAATTTTTACATAATTAATTGGTAAAATTTTTTGAGCTTACTATTCGACTACGAATTATTTCAACAAAGAAATTTATCTCGGTGGCCATGAAACTTGTATTTCGATAATTTTTACATAATCAATTGGTAAAATTTTTTGAGCTTACTATTTGACTACGAATTATTTCAACAAAGAAATTTATCTCGATGGCCATGAAACTTGTAATTCGATAATTTTTACATAATCAATTGGTAAAATTTTTTGAGCTTACTATTCGACTACGAATTATCTCAACAGAGAAATTTATCTCCATAAATATTTATTAATATTGAAAAGGTCTTTATTTTTTTATCTAAAACGAATTTAATACTTGCGATAAAAATAATGAAGTTAGGAAAACGAGCGCGATCTCGTTGACGTATCAGTAGATATAGCCATGGCTGATCAGACACGTGTATCCTCTTCATTTTCAGTGATACGACTGTATCATCAGTCTGACGTATACATAAATACTACAATACATTTTGATAAGCTCTTCGTTATACGCAAAATATGTATTTCCACAAAAGAGTAGTCCATCAAGATGACGTTATTAAATGATTCACGTGTACATTTGATAAACGAGGATGTTTCTAATCCGTATTATCGCAGTCTTAATTATGACTAAGTCTTTCAATAAAATGTTTCGTCAAACGACTAAGAAAAGTAGACTACGGTAGCAAAGTTCATCGTCGATCTCTCGAAACTACTGATACGTTGTAATCGGTACCGATTCGCGTACAATAAACCGAGCGAAACATAATCAGCCGAACATCTGCCTGTCTGTCGGTACATGATCGTCGCGATAAAAAGGCAAGCAACTTGAAATCTGCCGAGGAACCCATCAATCGATCGTTGTAAACGGAAAATCCCATTAGAACTCGGCGAGCGATCGCGAACACGCTCTGGCGACCAGCTGCGAGCGCAGAAATATGTATTTCTGTTTATGAGCTCAGGAATACCAGGGTTCGACGTGTTTGCGAATTGCGAATAATATGCCGTATGCAAACAACGAATAATTTTTTATCGAAATACTGATTTTTATGGATGATCGTTGATAAAAGGTAGTAGCGTTCGATTGTAATAATAGTTAGCGTAATTCTACGCGATTCAAGTCTTTTTGATTCATTTTGGAGATGTTGAATTTGTGGAGGTTCAGTTTCAGACGATTCAACTTGATGCGATTCAAGTACAAATGATTCAATTCGGCGCGATTCAATTCCATAAAATTCAATTCGGCGCGATTCAGTTCCACAAGATTCAATTTGGCGCGATTCAATTCGACAAGATTCAATTCGGCGCGATTCAATTCCATATGATTCAATTCGGTGCGATTCAATTCCATATCATACAATTCCACGTGGTTCAATTCCACACGATTCAATTCGGAGCGATTCAATTCCACGTTATTCAATTTTGCCACAATTCAATTCCACGTCATTCAGTTCCGCGCGGTTCAATTCCACAAGATTCAATTCGGCGCGATTCAATTCCACATGATTCAATTCGGTGCGATTGAATTCCACATCATTCAATTCCACGTGGTTCAATTCCACAAGATTCAATTCGGCGCGATTCAATTCCACGTTATTCAATTTTGCCGCGATTCGATTCCACATCATTCAGTTCCGCGCGGTTCAATTCCACACGATTCAATTCGGCGCGATTCAATTCCACAAGATTCAATTTGGCGCGATTGAATTCCACATAATTCAATTCGGTGCGATTGAATTCCATATCATTCAATTCCACGTGGTTCTATTCCACACGATTCAATTCAGAGCGATTCAATTCCACGTTATTCAATTTTGCCGCGATTCAATTCCACGTCATTCAGTTCCGCACGGTTCAATTCCACACGATTCAATTCGGAGCGATTCAATTCCACAAGATTCAATTCGGCGCGATACAGTTCTACATCATTCAATTCGACATTATTCAATTCGACAAAATTGAATTGCCTATGGCTTAGTCCGAAGAGATTCAATTCTACATAATTCAATATGGTGTCATTCAATTCTGCATTATTAAATTCTACATTATTTAATTCAACCCAATTTAATTGCCTGCGGCTGAGTCCGATGCGATTCAATTCTACATTGTTCAATTCGGCGGGATTCAATTCCACATAATTCAATGTGGTGCCATTCAATTCTACATTATTATATTCTACATTATTTAATTCAACCCAATTTAATTGCCTACGGCTTAGTCCGATGGGATTCAATTCTACATTATTCAATTCGGCGGGATTCAATTCTATATCATTCAATTCTGCATTATTCAATTTGACACAATTTAATTGCCTGTGGCTTAGTCCAATGCGATTCAATTCCACATGGTTCAATTTCGTGCCATTCAATTCTACATCATTCAATTCCACATTGTTCAGTTCTACACAATTTAATTGCCTGTGGTTTAGACCGATACAATTCCATTCAAAATGATTCGGTTCTACACGGTCCAGTTTGGTGCGATTCAATTTTACATCATTCAATTCTACTCGATTTTCATTGATCATTCAATTCCATAATGTTTAATTTGACTGAATTCAATATCGATGTCATTCGGTTCAAAATAATTCTGACACGATTCTATTTATACGTACAATACAAATCAATTAATTGGAAAATATAATTGAAGCTATTTACACTGTTTAATTCGTGCATGACGGACACTTCTCTCCGCGATTACGTGTGTACGAGTGTCGTAACAATATTCACGTCGAAGAATAGTAAAATCCCCAATTGATCATCAATGTCGTTTAACAATCGATTGATTCGTCAGAGATTTGCCTATTCAATCGAGATATTAATATCGAGTGAAATAGTTCGTCTACGATACGTGATTTTCTATCCTTGAATCATTTGATGCGGTTATTCCTTTCAGAAACACGATTCGAGATAAAACCTTGGGACTCGTATGACAATTAAAGACAAATGGACTTTATTTTAATAAATTTTATTTTATTTTCTATGAAATTCAATTCAATGCAGTTCTGGTCTGTAAAATTCAATTCTGTGAAATTCAATTCTATGAAATTCAATTTTATGAAATTCAATTCTATGAGGTTCAATTCTATGAAATTCAATTCTATGAGGTTCAATTCTATGAAATTTAATTCTATGAGATTCAATTTTATGAAATTCAATTCTATGAGGTTCAATTCTATGAAATTCAATTCTATGAGATTCAATTCGATGAAATTCAATTCTATGAGATTCAATTCGATGAAATTCAATTCTATGAGATTCAATTCGATGAAATTCAATTCTATGAGATTCAATTCGATGAAATTCAATTCTATGAGATTCAATTCGATGAAATTCAATTCTATGAGATCGACGCTCAATTCTATGAGGTTCAGTTCTATAAGATTCAATTCTATGAGATTCAATTCTACGAGGCTCAATTCTATGAGGTTCAGTTCTATAAGATTCAATTCTATAAGATTCAATTCTATGAGGCTCAATTCTACGAAATTCAATTCTATGAGATTCAATTCGATGAAATTCAATTCTATGAGATTCAATTTCATGAAATTCAATTTTATGAGATTCAATTTTATGAAATTCAATTCTGTGAAATTCAATTAAACGTTCGATACAACTCAATTCCTTTTCACTGCAATTCAATTTCACGTTCTACAATATCCTTCAATTCCGGAAAGTCAAATATCGTACCACGAATGACCCAGATAGCCCTCAAAACTAAAAAAACTTCTGTAGGATACTTGTTTTTTGCAATATAAGTGTAACATAAAACCAATAGGATAAACTCGTCTATTAAACATTGCGTTTATCAAGAGTTTCAATCGACATTGCGCTAACTTTTTTGAAAAACATTCTGTTGATGTCGGATTTCGACACGTTTCGCGCGATAACAATTTCGGCGATCCTTTATTCGCGATAATGGGCCGAATAATCTCTTAGGAAAACGAGGTTTGTTTGCGTATTAAATTTCGAAGCACGTTTCGCATTGCAAGTACAAGTAATTTGAGCAGCCTGTTTTTTTCTTCGTATTCCATTATTTCAACAAAATATCATAGGAATAAGCGGAAAGTTATGCAGACTTTGTATCGGTTCGATCTGTGTTTAAATTCTTTTCTCTTGTCACGTACCGATGCGTGTTATCGTCGATCCGCGCGACGGTGTATCATCCGTGATGAATTATCGCCGGCTGAAAAATTCGCAACGATTTTACGACTTGTTTTCTTATTATAAATCTAATACCGGAAAACACAGATTGTTGATTGTTATCGATGAACGGCGCCATGTATTATCATGGACAGAAGATTCATTCGATGTGTCCAGTTTGGAGACACAACCTGTTTAGAACCGTGCAAATGCGCAATAACTAAATTGAAGATCATAACAGAATTTACATAGTAACTGCTATTAATTGGATTTCATTTTTTGAAGCTTTCAAACTTTTCAAATTAATTTTAGGATATCATTGAAAAAGTTATATGACTGGATTGAGAATTTTTGTTTTAACATATCTTTTAATTTATTCTTCCTGATTTTTTGTTGACGATATAAATTTTTTTTGCAGGATGCTCTGGACACTAAAAAGTGGGTCGACTCGTCTAGGAATAACCAAGCTAGGTACGATATCCAAATTATCATCTATGTTAATTATAAAGCAGTACAATATTTGCAAAAATATTATGTATATTGATTACAATTATTTTTGGAACAGCTATGATCCATCACAGAAGAAGACCAGCATTTATGTCATGGAAATGGAAGAGAAGAAGAAGAGCGTGCAGGAATTCCAAGACGATTATGACCCCTACGACCATAGAGTAGTAACACATCCAACAACGTGAGTGAATGTATACTTCAACTTTAATTTTTCAAGAATGGATCGATATACATTTAATCTCCAACTTCGATTTCTTTCAACATTTTTTTTTTTTGATATTCCGTATCTTCTCTTTACATGAAATTAACTTTGAGTCAAACGAATAGTGAAGAAGCATTAGACGTTCCCTCCGTTCGAGTGTTACAATGCTACAGTTTGATCGCGCGAATAGCGGAAAAACCGCGTAGAACACGGTAGAATGAAAATGTAAATCGATACATTCGGTCGCTTAATGCAATCACGAACATTTGCATAATGATGGACGCAGCACGCATGCGAAACGATGTTTCGTTTATTCCGACCGCGTTCCTCTGGATACAAATTACCGTGTAATTTGTTGCGGCGATTAGTCGTGAAGCGGAAGAATAAGATTGCATCCTCGAAGAAACCGCTACGAATTGTCTATTAAACGCGTGTTAAATATTGTTCCTATGCTCGTCGAACTTGAAACTCTGCATTATTGTTGCCGTTTCGCGTTATCTTCGCTTATCATGTCCTCGTAACTTATGATTTACGAAACTAGTAAAAGAGAAAATTCACATAGTAGACTTTTATATCACCATTCTAGATATAAGCAGATCCCTCGTTACGTGTTCCTGTCATTACCTCGTGATATATTACCGTTTGTACAGCTGGCTTTTCTCATATTGTCGAGTACAGTATTATCGTAAGCAGTGTTATTGACTTTTATATTGTGGCGCGTTATATCGCTACGCGGATTATTACTATGCGCTATATCGCCCTCGCGTTATATCTCCGTTTGTTGTATTACCATGCGTAGTAATTTTTATTTGTTATATCGCTGCGAGTAGTACTACTATGCGTTATATCGCCACGCGCAGTAATACTACGCGTTATATCGCCGCGCGAGCTGTACCGCCACGCGCAGTACTATTACGCGTTATATCGCCGCGCGCGCTATATCGCCACGCGCAGTACTACTACGCGTTAATCGCCGCGCGCGCTATACCGCCACACGTAGTACTACTACGCGTTAATCGCCGCGCGCGCTATATCGCCACGCGCAGTACTACTACGCGTTATATCGTCGCGCGCAGTATATCGCCACGCTCCGTACTACTACGCGTTATATCGCCGCGCGTGCTGTATCACCACGCGTAGTATTACTACGCGTTATATCGCCGTTTACTATATTACCACGCGCAGTTAATTATAGTTTGTTATATCGCCGCGCGCTATATTGCCACGCGCATTATCACTACGCGTTATATCGTCGCGTGCTGTATTGCCACGCGTTATATTGCCGTTCACTATACTACCACGCGCAGTACTGTTATGCATTATATCGCCGCGCGTTATTTCGCCCTCGTGTTACATCGCCGTTCGCTGTATTACCACGCGCAGTATTACTACACGTTATATCGCCTCGCACTATATTGCCACGAACAATAGTACCACTCGTTATATCGCCGTGCGCTGTATTACATGTTATATTTCAATATATAGTCTTACCATATATTTTGCCACGTGTAGTCTACACGGAGAGTTACCACATATCTCGCACTATATTGCCGCGCACTGCAACTCAATCCTCTACATTAAAGATTACAGTAATAAACAATAGACTGAATTAATTGGAAAGTTTGAATTACGTAATACAAATGTATATCATGTGTGATTGAAGTGTGATGTAATTCAATTAGCACAATCCCTTATCTGTAAATGTGATTACAATTTCAGGTTCGCGGAGACGTTGCTCCATTTGCTAAAAGGCAGTTTAGGAACTGGAATTCTCGCGATGCCGAGTGCTTTCCATAATTCCGGATATGCAGTTGGTACAGTAGCGACAATAATTATTGGCATGTTCTGTACTTACTGCATGCGAATACTCGTCAATTCGGAATACGAGTTGTGTAAAAGGAAGAAGGTACCATCGTTGTCGTATCATGGCACTGCCGAGGCTGCGCTGTCGGTTGGTCCTGTACCCTTGAGGCGATTTGCTAAACCATCAATGTGAGTATTTATGTGCTACATATGTATACGTATATGTATAGCGATCAACGGGACGGAATGGAACCGTTGAACGTGTACAAAAATAACGGACAATTACATTTTGATATATTTCATTCCTTGGTTCATGCGGTCACTGTTTAATTTAGAAACGGAACAACCACTGTTACCGATTCGCGATAAGAGAACTGCTATTACTTTTGCATAATGGAACTTTGCAATTATCATTTTGCTTACGGTACGTATTAGAGTATCTTCCTCGAATAGACACCGATGCGCTATTTTAAAAATATGCCCGGAGTTATGTATTCCGGATCGGTTATCGCGAATTGACGACTTAACAGTTTATCGACATTCTTGTCAAGGAACCTTTTTATCATTAAACTCAATATTTCCAACTTTTCGCTCGACGTTGCACAATTTGCAAACACCTTGAAAACTTTCTGTGAAGTTAACCCGAGCAAACAGAAATCTTAACACGGAATCTGTCTTATTTACAGCCACGTGATAAACGTATTCCTATTGGTGTACCAGCTAGGAACTTGCTGCGTCTACACCGTGTTCATTGGCACGAATTTGGAAAAGGTTAGTGCAGATCAATTTCTTGACTATTCTATGATTACAAATTATTATATGTAAGATTATAGAGATATCAAAATCTAGGGATATTAAGATATAGGGTAGGTAGTATAGAGATATTTGGGATCTAGGGAATTTCGGGATCCAAGGATATTTGGTATGTATGGATATTTGGGATCTAGGGAATTTCGGGATCCAAGGATATTTTTCATCTATGGATATTTGGGATCTATGGAATTTCGGGGTCTAGGGAATTAGGGTATCTAGGGGATTTGGGGATCTATAGAATTTCGGAATCTAGAGAGATTTGGATATAGGGAGATTGGGAACTAGGGAGATTAGGAACTAGGGAGATTGGGAACTAGAGAGATTGGGAACTAGAGAGATTGGGAACTAGAGAGATTGGGAACTAGAGAGATTGGGAACTAGAGAGATTGGGAACTAGAGAGATTGGGAACTAGAGAGATTGGGAACTAGAGAGATTGGGAACTAGAGAGATTGGGAACTAGAGAGATTGGGAACTAGAGAGATTGGGAACTAGAGAGATTGGGAACTAGAGAGATTGGGAACTAGAGAGATTGGGAACTAGAGAGATGGGGAGATGGGGATATAGGGAGATTGGGAACTAGGGAGATTGGGAACTAGGGAGTTTGGGAACTAGGGAGATTGGGAACTAGGGAGATTTGGATCTAGGGAGATTTGGATCTAGGGAGATTGGGATCTAGAGAGATTGGGAACTAGGGAGTTTGGAAGCTAGAGAGATTGGGAACTAGGGAGTTTAGAAACTAGAGAGATTGGGAACTAGAGAGATTGGGAACTAGGGAGATTGGGAACTAGGGAGATTGGGAACTAGGGAGATTGGGAACTAGGGAGATTGGGAACTAGGGAGATTGGGAACTAGGGAGATTGGGAACTAGGGAGATTGGGAACTAGGGAGTTTGGAAAGTAGAGAGATTGAGAACTAGGGAGTTTGGAAACTAGAGAGATTGGGAGCTAGGGAGATTGGGAATTAGGGAGTTTGGAAACTAGAGAGATTGGGAACTAGAGAGATTGGGAATTAGGGAGATTGGGAACTAGAGAGATTGGGAACTAGGGAGTTTGGAAACTAGAGAGATTTGGAACTAGGGAGTTTGGAAAGTAGGGAGTTTGGAAACTAGAGAGATTGGAAACTAGAGAGATTGGGAACTAGGGAGATTGGAAGCTAGAGAGATTGGGAACTAGGGAGTTTGGAAAGTAGAGAGATTGGGAACTAGGGAGATTGGGAACTAGGGAGATTGGGAACTAGGGAGATTGGGAACTAGGGAGATTGGGAACTAGGGAGATTGGGAACTAGGGAGATTGGGAACTAGGGAGTTTGGAAAGTAGAGAGATTGAGAACTAGGGAGTTTGGAAACTAGAGAGATTGGGAATTAGAGAGATTGGGAATTAGGGAGTTTGGAAACTAGAGAGATTGGAAACTAGGGTGTTTGGAAACTAGAGAGATTGGGAACTAGGGAGTTTGGAAACTAGAGAGATTGGAATCTAACAAGATTAGGATCTAGGGCTTTCGGGGTCTAGGGTTATCGGGATCTAGAGAAATCGGGGTCTAGAGAAATTGGGATATAGGATACAGTGTATAGGGATATCGGTATCTAGGAACATTGCCATATAGATTATTGGACCATAAGGATTCCCGGAGTTAGAGATTTAAGTATTGCGGAATTTGGAATCTAAAACTATAGGGATCCCCCCGTATAGAGATGTTATATCACATATGATTCTACCTATACAATACAGAAACTTGAAAACATATATCTGTGGATGTAGAAATCTAGTTACGTATTATAACATTTTCGGTATCCCAGATCGTTCGACCCCTTGAAACCAATTCACATCGACAACTCGAAGAAATATTAATATTTCACTAATTTCTCTGAATCCCAATATTGGCTCTCCTTCCTCTAGTACTCTAGTTTTTCTTGTAGCTACGATCGCGTCGAAGTGACTCAGAGATTTCGCTGCTCCTGTTACTCCGTCGTCGATCCAGCTTTTACCGCAAAGAAATACCCACTCGATCGGCGCGGCTAGACCAGTGTGGGCAGAAAGAAAAAGGAGCATGTAGGTCAGGGAAACACAGCGTAAGGAATAAACGATTAGACTAGTCGGCATTTAGAGATTGTAACGAGCTAAGTACGTAGCTCGAGTCAAGGTGATAATCGACGCGTTACACAGGGCCGGGTTCGTTGACATTTCTCGAGGGAAGGATTCGTCTTTCCTCCTTTTGCGCTCGTTCGCGAGGACAACGATTGACGTCATCGCCGGAAAGTTCACCGTGACGAGTTGACCGTGAGCGCTAGTTAAACTAAACGCTTCCTTGATGTTCAGTTTCAATTTCGCTGCATATTTTCATGCGATTATGGACAGGGTTTATGGCCTGAACGTGACTCAGTGATCTTGAACGATACATATGGGGGAGTCTTATCATTTTTATTCGAGCGTGCGCAGACTTCTCTTTGTTCGTCGAAGGTCGAGGGATTTCGAGGGTTGAAGGTTGATCGTGGTCAAATTCGAAACGAACGTTTCTAATTTGGAAGATGAACTTGAAGGATGATGAACTAGACGATCTTGAACTATTTTGACAAAAACGTCTAAGAGAATGTGGAAAATCAGTAAACCTAGAGCTACTTTGTAGTAGTCGTGAAATTTTGAACAAGTTGTGAATAAACTGTTGGACATTTCGCTCTTTCCATATATTGCCTTAGGTGGTCAAAACAGTGAACAACGGAAAATCGTATAAATATTTCCCCCTACCCTAACTGTGTAATATTTTTGGAATTCATCGCTCATCGTCTGAAGATCCGCAGTACGTGGATCGGAAGAACTCGTCTGACTTGTCATAAATCACTCAAAAAGGTCGGCTTGATTCCTATTTTGCCTGAATGTTCGTAAACCGGCTGCATCGTATGAAACATATTCCCCTCACGCAACAGAACGAAATGAAAATTCAAATCACTCGTTTGGTTAATATGTCGAGGTTCATTAGCCTCGTTCGAGACTCGTGATGAATCAAAATCTTCAGATTGCACGACGCGTCTTCGTATTTCTTAATACGCTGTAATCGCATGGAAAGTATCCAACTTGTAATTAATAGTTGGATACTTCAGTAGAAATCGTGGAAACATTTCAACTTTGTCCTTCACGAATGGGATTTGGGGAGATTGGGATTTGGGGAGATTGAGAACTAGGGAGATTGGGATTTGGGGAGATTGGGATTTGGGGAGATTGGGAACTAGGGAGATTGGGATTTGGGGAGATTGGGATTTTGGGAGATTGGGAACTAGGGAGATTGGGATTTGGGGAGATTGGGAAATAGGGAGATTGGGATTTGGAGAGATTGGGATTTGGGGAGATTGGGAACTAGGGAGATTGGGAACTAGGGAGATTGGGAATTTGGGAGATTGGGAACTAGGGAGATTGAGATTTGGGGAGATTGGGATTTTGGGAGATTGGGAACTAGGGAGATTGGGAACTAAGAAGATTGGGATCTAGGGAATTTTGGAACTAAGGAATTTGGGGTCTAGAGAAATTGAAGACTAGGGAATTCGATAACTAGGAAATTCGATAACTAGGAAATTAGGAAAGTAAGAAATTTTTGAATGACCGAAATTAAAGTATCCCTATGATCGTTCATTCTGTTACATTCGCAAAAGTATAATATAAATTTCCTTAAAAATTGAAATCTTACAATGTTTATAAATATGAACGAGCCTTAATTCGCTATTTCACGGTAGCTCGAGACTGGCCGCAGTATTCAGGTTTTCACGAGCGGTGCGTTCGTTGCATCCACATTCTACACGCTCGTCGTAATAACAGGTGTCGTAACTATCCGCTAACTATCTATTACATTGCGTAGTAACGCGTTCCACGGGTTGGCTAAACCAACGTCCGAACCACGCTCCTCTTCTTTCGACGTTTCAGAAAACGAGCCGGCCAACGGAATTTTACATGGTAAATTAACCATCCACGTATCGCTCGTTACAACCGTATACCTATCAATTACGAAACATTCGCGGACCTGTCGGTTAAATATCAGTAATAAGATCGCTGCGATATTTTATTTTACCTGTACACGGTTTAAATCGTAGGTTTACTCGCTGCCGGTTGAAACTGGGTCTGTTAAATACGCACGATCGTGTATTCTATTGCAAAGAACACTACGATCGCATACGAGGTTATAGATTTCGGTTTCTTTCTTGTCTGTGAAGTATCGATACTTGCGTTTTCATGAGTGTATAATAAATTGTTTTTGAAATTTGTATAACTATAACAATTTGCTATAACAATTTGAATAACCTAGGAATTTTCATTATTATAATTTATGATGTACAATCTTAGTGTTCCTGCATTCAACATCCTTAGATCCAATGACTCTAAATTGCTATATTTTTAGATTCCAATTTTTTGCACCAAAATGACCCTAGATCTTAATATTCCTAGATCTCAATCTCCCTAGTTCCTAATCTCCCTAGTTCCCAATCTCCCTAGTCCCCAATCTCTCTAGTTCCCAATCTCTCTAGTTTCCAAACTCCCTAGTTCCCAGTCTCCCTAGTTCCCAATCTCCCTAGTCCCCAATCTCCCTAGTTCTCAATCTCTCCAGTTCCCAATTTCTCCAGTTCCCAATCTCCCTAGTTCCCAATCTCCCTAGTTACCAATCTTCCTAGTTCCCAATATCCCTAGTTCCCAATCTCCCTAGTCCCCAATCTC